ATCTAGTTTAGCTCATCACGAAGCCACCCCCCACCTGGTGCCCCCCCCCATCCCCCTACCCCGTAAAATAACAGCCCTGACTACGCTCACATGTTCGTGCTGATTAACCTGTATAGAAGTGCCAGTGCGGATCAACACAGGTGCACCCAGGAGGCCTGATGAGTACCTTGGCTGAGCGATCGGGACGGAAAGCGAGAAGGACATTCAGTACACGTGTTGTTTTTATGTGCATGTGTGCCTGTGTGTGAGTATGCATGTATAGGATTATTGTTAGATTGATTGATAGATAGATAGAAAGATATATAAACAAGTAGATCGAAAGATTTGTACACATAAAAACATATATACATACATGCATACACACGCATATATACATACATGCATACACACGCATATATACATACATGCATACACACGCATATATACATACATGCATACACACGCATATACACATACACACATACATACATAAAGTCGGTTTATATATGGATATGTTTTTAAAAATGTGTGTGCGCGTGTGTGCGTGTGCATGTGCGTGTGCGTGTGCGTGTGCATGTGCGTGTGCGTGCGTGTGTGGCTTTCGGTGAACTGGCTTTTCCGGCGAAAGCGAGGACAGACGACCTTAGGAAGTAGGCCTATGATCCGGCGGAGGCCTCTCCCGCTTGCTACATTCCGGCGATTTAGGCTTTTTTTCTCTTCATCCTTTGTGCGTAAATCAAATTTCCATACATGTGATATATTTATTGTGTGTATATATTCATACAGAGAGAGAGAGAGAGAGAGAGAGAGAGAGAGAGAGAGAGAGAGAGAGAGAGAGAGAGAGAGAGAGAGAGAGAGGGGGGGGGGGAAGAGAGAGAGAGAGAGAGAGAGAGAGAGAGAGAGAGAGAGAGAGAGAGAGAGAGAGAGAGAGAGAGAGAGAGAGAGAGAGAGAGAGAGAGAGAGAGAGAAAAAGAGAAAGAAAGAGAGAGAGAGAGAGAGAGAGAGAGGAGAGGGGGGAAGAGAGAGAGGGGGAAAAGAGAGAGGGGGGGAAGAGAGAGAGGGGGAAGAGAGAAAGAGAGAGAGAGAGAGAGAGGGGGGGGGGAAGAGAGAGAGAGAGAGAGAGAGAGGGGGGGGGAAGAGAGAGAGAGAGAGAGAGAGAGAGAGAGAGAGAGAGAGAGAGAGAGAGAGAGAGAGAGAGAGAGAGAGAGAGAGGAGAGAGAGAGAGAAGGGGGGGGGAATTTACAAAGGAAAGATCGATATTAATTCCCTTTTCTGGCCATTATCACCCCTCCTCTTTTCCCCTCTTCCTTCACCCTCTCTTTCTCTGTCCCAGAAGGAGTCAATATTATCAAAAGTCGATGAAAAGCAATCATTATCATCGAGGTGATTATGGCAGAGGCGCTGACATGAGAGGAATCGATGGCACTAACACTGCAGAGTTCATGTTCCACTTTCATCGTCAGCTTCACCTTCATCTTCAACATCACCATCGTAATCATGACAATCACTGTCGTCACCATCACAATCCTAATCTTCATTATCACCATCACCACCCCCAAACACGTGACTGTTATCAATAAATCTAATCAACCTATTGTGCATAATGTTCCTTTTTCGACTATCGTATCAACGCAGGGAAGTGGTTTATCATTCACTTATTAACCTTATCTTTACCTTGCTTCTTTTAACACACACACACACACACACACACACACACACACACACACACACACACACACACACACACACACACACACACACACACACACACACACACACACACAGATAGAGAGATAGAGTGAGAGAGAGAGAAAGAGAGAACAAGAGAGAGAGAGAGAGAGAGAGAGAGAGAGAGAGAGAGAGAGAGAGAGAGAGAGAGAGAGAGAGAGAAATACAGAGAGAAAAAGACAGAGTGAGAGAGGGGGGGGGGGGCATCAGCTCTATCTATCGGGGCATTTCGCAACCCTACAATGGCTTTCGAAACGGGATACCAGCCTTGGCCTCCCGACTCGCCGCAAGAATATTTTTTCATTAATCTCTCTCTTGCTCTCTCTCTTTCTCCCTGTCTCTCTCTCTCTCTCTCTCTCTCCCTGTCAGTCTCTCTCTCTCTCTCTCCCTGTCAGTCTCTCTCTCTCTCTCTCCCTGTCAGTCTCTCTCTCTCTCTCTCCCTGTCAGTCTCTCTCTCTCTCTCTCCCTGTCAGTCTCTCTCTCTCTCTCTCCCTGTCAGTCTCTCTCTCTCTCTCTCCCTGTCAGTCTCTCTCTCTCTCTCTCCCTGTCAGTCTCTCTCTCTCTCTCTCCCTGTCAGTCTCTCTCTTCTCCTGTCATCTCTCTCTCTCTCCCTGTCAGTCTCTCTCTCTCTCTCTCCCTGTCAGTCTCTCTCTCTCTCTCTCCCTGTCAGTCTCTCTCTCTCTCTCTCCCTGTCAGTCTCTCTCTCTCTCTCTCCCTGTCAGTCTCTCTCTCTCTCTCTCCCTGTCAGTCTCTCTCTCTCTCTCTCCCTGTCAGTCTCTCTCTCTCTCTCTCT